ATGTGCGATTGCTTATTCTTTTGTGACCGCTTCTGTGAAATTTTTATTCTGTAGTTTGGACGCCCACTATAGAGACGTTTTTGGTGTCCAACAACAAGACCAACCTAATTATGAGGTATGGAGATGTGCATTTGAGAAAGCTTTCTATGTAACCCCATCCACATATATAATATATGTGACCCCTGATCTTAGCCGTCAGATCTGAGTAGATGCCTTGAGCCACAATGTCACAAGTTGGCTCTTAACCTTCAGATCTTGATCAGACGGCTCATAGTTATATATCATTTCGAAGAAAAATTTGTGGCGTGCAAAGATCTGATAGGGGCGCACATGATAAAAATAATAATAAAATATTTTCGATGATGAAAAGTTACCATAATATTTTCGGTGACGGAATATTTGATTTTTATTTTATTTAGGTTCGCCCTAGTTTATGATGGGACGCTCAAAATTTCATCCAAAAATGTTTTGTATAAAAAAATGAAAAATAAAACAGCTTTTGGCGTGACATTGTGGCATGAACAATCGTAGCCATCAATTTTGAATCAAACAGCTAAGAAGTGGGGTCACGTATAACTTCTATCTTGTTTGGGTCACAGAGAAAGCTTTCCCTATCCATTTTCACTTAGTTTATTGAATTAATAGAATAAGTCCTTTGTGTTATTATAATAAACTTCATGCGCGGGCAATTAAATCTTCCTTTGTTGGAAAATGACTTTCCATGTTACTATGACTTTCTTAGTTTTATTAATGATGGTGATATCATTGTTGTCTCATTATGCATTTTCCTTTGATTGCAAGAGGAACTTGTTGATAGGAGTAAGTACTGGGATGACTTGGAGGAAGGGGAGGAATAGATGGAAGAAGAGGAATTGGAGGTTGGTATTCAATCAGGTTCCAGCTTCTCTAGGTCTCTCTCTCTCTGCTGTATTAATAAATTGAGTTTTTTAAGTTTCCCGTAGTAGGCCAACTGGTGTGAAGGCACCTGACGTCATTGATCTTCGAAAGTAATAAAGGAAAGAGCCAAGGAAGCCTATTGACCAAATGAGTACATTGAAAGATTTTGGGCACAATCTTCTAGTGAGCTACATTATTAGTCACCTTTTGATTACCATTTTATTCTCATGGAGTCCAATACTCTATTTCTCTTGTTCCAAATAAGGTACTCGAAGAGAAGGAAGAAAGGATTGCACCAGGAACCTTACTTGGAACAACGCACATGTATGTCTACACCTAACTAGCTGCTTATCTGACCATCATTTTCATGAATTTTAGGACTTCTTTTGTGCATTTTCTTATTTCTCATTGTGTGAGTTTTTTCTTTTTCTTTCCTTTTTGAGAGAGGGTTTCACGCAGGGAGACTCTTGATTAGCATTTAAGAACTTTTTTCTTTGGCCAGGTATGTGCTTGGGGCAATGGATAAAACTGGTGCTAAAAGGGTAAACACATTTATTCTTCTGTATGTTAGTGTTACTCCACAAGCACTTAATGATTTGTTGGCTAGATTTATATATGAAATTCTTTTGACCTCTTTTCAATTATCCTCCGCATTTTGTCATACTGATTCCACGTGATCCTTACCCAGGTTGAGCTACTACTAGGACTAAGTAGATGTCACTCTTTGGTTGGAAGAATTAGAGGCTTTGGATGATGTTACTATGGCAGCAAAGTAAGGTATTTTTCTTTTTTTATAATAGGAGCCCAGATTCTTGATGTGTTGTTTGATGCATGCATGCAAAGTTTTATGGGTTTTATGGGAGTGAGTTATTAATTATTGGGTGACATGCTTCATGTATGAGGAAGCAAGGGAAGAGGAGAAACTATAAAATCAACGCAAAGGACTTCAGTGACATTGTGGCAGAGGTTTGTTCTGAGTGCATTCTAGAGTAGGTTGGAATTTTTGTTCGTGTTCTATGGGTTTCACTTTTTTTAAAAAAAAAAATTGAACTCTATGCAGGCTAAGAAAAAGAGGAATCGCAAGATGTAGGAAAAAGAAAGGGAAGGCAAATAAGAAGGATTTCAAGTTTTAGGCACAAAGCTATACATCAAATTTGCATGCTCCCCCTCCCCCATTGGATATATTCTGTTTGGGGAATATACTATGAACTCTGAAATTTGAAATATCTGATACATTGAAAGTTCTTATCGATATGTAAAATGTGAAGTTCTTTGGTTGATCTTGAGCCCATCTTGGTTCGATTAATAAATGGACAAGGCAGCTAGCTACTATTGAGGTAGGAGTGATGTTTAAAGGGAATTTGATTAGTGAATCCATTATGAGATCGTCAAAGAATCTTAACAGTGCCTGAAGTTGGTGGAAAGTTAGAAGTTGTTTTATTTTCTTTGTTTTCACCGTCTAAAGGAGCATTATTATCAGCATAAAGGAGCATTATTATCAGCATAAGATATATCCATTGTTCTCACAAAATAATGGGTAGCAAGCCAGGGAATAGTAAAATATCGGCAGATCAAAATATCGGTAAGAAATCGATTTTATTTCATAAGGTGGGAGGAAAAAAATCAGTTAAAAAATATGGATCACAAAAAAAAAACACGGTGAGTTATAGAGTCATGGATATTTTGAATTTGACTAAAAAAAAGTAGTAAAAAAACCGGATATGCAAAGATCATAGTTGCTAAGTCTCCATTTAAAACATGATTTTCTAAATAAATATCTAATTTTTTTAAATCCGTTAAGAATCCTGAGTTTTTTAGAAGATCTTCAAAAAATTGCTTTTTTAATACTACTGATATAAATTTGGATTTTATCTTTTTTAAAAAATACTTATTCCTTGTAACTTTATTTATTTATTTATTTATTTAATATTATTAAAAATTGGTTTAAAGAAAAGTAAAGTTACAATAGGAGTAAATTGAAAATCTTGATTTAACAAAAAATACCATT